AGGACTGACTCAGAAAAGTATCCAGTTTCTCAGCAGAAGATAATGGAGCAACACTAGTAAGTAGGATAATGGCCCTCCCTGAAGATGGTCACATCCCAATGCCTAGACCCTGTGAATATGTCCAGGCAAAAAAGAATTAGGTTGGAGGATGGATTGAAGGTTGCTAATCAGCTGACTTTAAAATAGAGACATTATCCTGTGTTTCCCAGATGGGCTCAATGCTATCACAAAAGTCCTAAAAAATGAGGAGGAAGGGGCAAAAGAAGAGAGTCAGAGAGAAATGTGATGATGGAAGAAGTTCTGACATGGTGCTGCTGGTTTTGAACCTAGAGGAAGGGGGCCAAGAGCCAAGGAATGTGAGCCTGTGCAAGCTATCAAGGGCAGGAGAGAGGGTCTACCCAGAGCCAACAGACGGTAATGAAGCCCTTCTGTGTCAGACTCCCGATCTGCCTACAGAACTATAAGATAAGCAATTTTTGTTGTGTAAACCTCTAAGGCAGTGGTRATGAATTATGGCAGTAATATAAAACAAATACAAATGCCTTCAAAATTGTGGAAAAACATGATTTTCAACTCAGTATTCTATCCACTACCAATTAAATACAAGTTAAAATTAAACACATTTACAGACAGATCAGCTCTCAAAAGAAATGAGCACCGATGCACCTTTCCTTGGGATAATGCTGGAAGATGTGATCTTCCCAAATAAGGGAGTAACCAAAAAAAGAGAAAGACAACGCTGCAGAAGCTGAACTAGCTCTAACGCTGAAGAGAGCAGCAGGCAGGGAGGACAGGTGTTCTGCAGGAGGAGAGCAGACAGAGTGGAGCCACTCAGGCGGCTCAGGAAGTCTGAGGGGACCAGGCTCTGGAGCTGGAGAACACTTAGGCCATGTGCCCATGTCACAAAGCAGTTTTGACTATTTTTAACACCAGAGAACAATTAGCGGCAGTGATTTAGAAAACTAAGCCAAAGCAAGTTTTAACTTCAGAAAAACAAGGTTGTTTTAAAAAGGAAAAATAATTGTCATGTCTTGGTTGTCTTAGCAGTGAACTCTAATTGCATGTTCTAATAATACAGATGTAAGTGGATTGGAAGAGTACAGGGAAGAAAAGTGAAGGCCTGGACCTCTAGGTCTCCATATCCATTGGTTTGTTGTTTTTTGGTTGGTTGGTTGGTTATAGACTTCAGGGGTGCATAATTGGATTCTCTATAACCTTGATCTGTGGCATGCTCCCTTTTGTCGTTGTTGAGATGGAGTATGGTGTGTTACCCAAGCTGATCTCAAACTCCTAGGCTCAAGCAATTCTTGTACTTCAGCATCCCTAGTAGCTGGGACTGCAGGCTCCTGCCACCCATGCCTGGCTTTGTGGCACATCCTTCACATTGGTCAACACGTGACCTGTTTTTAGCTATCTGGTTAGTTATTTGATTCATGACTTTTAATACATAATTAGCATCCATGAACCTATTATCCAAAATAAAAGCTGGACAATTATCTGTATCTTCCTTGTGGTCCCTACCCTACCCTGACACCAACCAGTACCCCAGCCTGCCATAATCAATATCCTAAATCCCATGCTTATGATTCCTTTGTCTTCTTCATAGTTAAGCTGAACATCTTAAATTCATGACCAATCTGAAGATAGGGTTCCTGCTGGGCTAGAAATGGAAGCAGGGGAGGCCCTATGAAGTTCAACCCCTCTGTCCTCATGAAGCAGCTTAGTAGCTTATTCTCCACAATTCAGGTTATGATGCCTCAGAAAGAACACTGATCCCAGGGTTTTCTCACATTAGATACCACTTTTTTGTTGTTTTTAAAAAAGGCTCCCAGCATTGCATGTATTTCTTATTCTTCTTGTGTTCCTTTTCCTAACTACTCATTGAAATGAAAGGAAATTTTAGGGGAGGAGTACATGGAAATGCTAAAGGTCATCCTTCACAGCCCGGAGGCTGGCTGCCATGGCTACCATCTTCAGGCCACACTCTAAGACATACATGTTTCACCCATGGATGCTCTAAAATCCCGGGTCTTATCAGATTCCTCCTGGATCCAGACATTCTGGAAGGGCTCCATCACTATAGAGGCTCTGGTAGCACAGCAAGGGGTCATCTGAGTTCTGTTTATGTTATCTGAAGACCTTGAGGCCCAAGCTGGCTATTTTCCTTGGCAAMCTACCATGGTCTAACAGGCACCAGCAATGTGAGAGTCACTTAGGAGCTTGCATGGAAGGTAATCTTAACCTTAACAACTCATGAGGCAGCCATGTGACTTTTCTAGTACTAGAACCATGGATTTATTGACCAGTGGGCTACAGGAGCCTTTGAGGCTCACCTAGTCAAGCATTTCCCAAAGTATATAGTTCAAACACTAATTTTTAAGATGGTTAATAGATTTTAGACTTTTAAGATGGTTAATAAATTTTGGAAGATAAAAAAAGTTATCTTCCAATCAAGAAAATTTAGAGAACACTGAATTTWAAAAAAAAAGTAAGATTCTTTTTTCATACTTTCTCAGAACCTAATGTCCAAGAAGGTGACTTGTTTCCTATTTAGATGTGTGCAAGTTATCTAAGTTTGCTGAGCCTCAGAAGAAATATATTTCTTTATTTCTGCAATATAGAAATAATAATGCCCACTCTGAAGGGCTACTGTGCCTGTGAATGAGATAATGAGCTCAAAAGCCTTTAGCATGGAACTGAAATAGGAAATTTCAACAAATGTTAGTTCCCCTCTACTTCTTTTATGCCTTCCATTTTTTCTTCTAATTTTCCTCTAAGTTTAGCAAATTACTCCAATTAACAACTGTCTGTGAAACTGTTTAAAAATTATTTTAACAGATGCTTTGGATGGCATCCGGGTAATTATGTGTGCAATGAAGGCTCCCACGCAGCTCCCCTGGCAGAATAGTGGGACCCCAGGCCCAGTGTGGCAGATCACAGTAGGCACAGGGAAGGTGGTGCCCACTGCACACAGAGAGTGGGAGAATCACTCTCCAGGCTCCAGTGGCAGCTTCACCTCCTCCTCCGTCACCAAGGAACAGATGGAGATTGGGGCTAACACATGCAGCACTCGGCTGACTCAGAGGAGGAAGCTCTGGATCAGGAGACAGAGGCTTCTCAACTGGCAGTGTCCCCTCTCAATGCTGGACTCCTTCATCTGAGATCCCAGGCTTTGGGGTAGATGAGTTCCATGCTCCCTTCCTGAATCCATGTTGATCTCCATTTTAAAGGTTACCAGGTGTGACAGAATCACCAATCCAAGTGGCACAGCCTCCACACACACAAGATATTTTATTGAGACTAGAACAATTTACAGTGAAGCATTCTGTATGTCACACTGAGAAAACTCAAGTTTTACAAATTTCACGTTCACAATTACAAGTCACTTTTTGCTCTGAGGGACACAGGAAACACACGGAAAGGGGCAGACAGTTGACAACAGGAGACCCAGACTTAGGGGTTTTCTCATAACTCAGCAGTATTTCTAGCCACCTTCGAAGACAACGGGATGAAGCTGTCCCTATCCATGAGTCCAGAGCAGGGCACACTTTCTATCTCCCTGCTGCCTCTTCTGGTTCTAGTTCATAGAATTTCTATGGCAGCATTAAGAGGGACTAAAAGCTGCTTCCTGACATCACAGATAAGAACAAACACAGAAGMCATTTAGCCTGAAAAAACTCACTTGGGGATCCGTTTGGACTTAGAAAATGCTCTCAGCCCCCATGAAAGTCATTTTTTAAATCCACTTTTCAGAAAAAGATGATTGTTAAAAATTTTTTTTTCTATTTTGAAAATGTTCTAACATCCTCATAAATAGACCAGTGAAAGAAACTCTTGTGGTTCATTATACAGAAGCAGATGATGAAACCAAGTTCAGTTTCAATTAACTGCCTGGAGTTATAAGTGAATCTTGGCCAAACCCTTCTCCCCTAACACTGTTTCCCATTCAACTCCATCTGCCCGCTTCCCTTTCAGGATTTCTCCAGGGCTGGGAGAAAACCTAAACCCAGCATGACAGCAGCAATTGTTCAGGGCTAGAGAACTAAGCTCAATTCTGCCTGACAAGTCTCTCTCTGAGTGACACTGTGAGTCAAGTCAGGACCAGACGGAAAGTGACAAAAACGTTCAGTCTCTGGAATGAGATTTTTCTGGCAAGTGGGCCCTTAAGGAAAAAGTTTCTTTAAAGATACCATAGGTTTTTGGAAGTGACATGTGAATTGCCAAGGTGATGATGACAGTGAGTCTTCTTTCAGAAACTGGTGTGAAAGAAATCTCATTATTCAGACAACACAGAGAAATGGCCTGTCTAGACAGTTGGGTTGATGAAGTGGCTCAGCACAGTTATTTCCAGCATATTGGAAAGGCTGTTCCCTCATTTCCTGTGAAAACAGAACAACATTTCACCCCCTTTTGTTTCTGTGTGATTGTAAGAAAAAAAAAGAAATTATACCTCATGGCTGAGTCTTTTCTCCTGGATCATCATGATGACCACCATCTGGGGAGAGGTACCTTAGCTGATGTTGGGCCACCATTGGCTRAAAGATGAAACCAGTTCTGTATGCTTTGGGACAGTGTTCATTTGGGGTTCCTCTCTCACCTCTTCTTTGATTTGTCTGGACCACTCTTGGAGAGAGGCTCATAAGTACTCTGCTGCACCCCTGTTCCTTGTTGATCATTACAATCTAATGGAAAATTATAGTTCCAAATTTTAAAACTGCACACATGCATACATATACCCGTTTACACACAAAGGGGAAAGCTGGAAATAAATTCACAGCGTTAGCAAAGGTGATCACAAATTGATAGGATGAAAAGATGGTATTTTTTTCTTTGTGCTTTTCTGAATTTTTTCCAAGTGGAAATAATGATTTCTGTTTGTTTTAAGGAAACTAAATTGGTCCTTTCTTGTCATGTATAGAGCCAATCTACTGAAAAACTATGATTTATCTTGGTCCAATGACTTCAGAAGGCAAGGCATGAAAACCTATGCCTGTTCTAGCTTGCTAACATCTCACTGGCCAGCGAATCTGTTTTCAGCAGAGCTCTSTGCATGTGGGTCAGCTGCACCCAAAGGATGACTTTAAGTTTCCTCTGTGGATGCTCAGTAGTCAGAAGGGCTATAAGGTAGCTGCCCAACAGTTGGAGTCCATTGACTGATTGAGCCCCCATCTGAGCTGAGGTTGCCTTGGTTCTCTTGCTCAGAGATCCAGGGTGCTATACCTCATAGCATTTTCTAAATAGGAATTTATGAACAGATGCCTAGTTGGTAACTGAATTTTAGTTTGCACTTCAAATGGGGCTAGAAGGCCAGGAAGTTTCCTAGGAACTCAAGAGTCCTACTGTTTCTGTAGGAACTTGTTTCCAGCACTGTGAAGATCATGCACAAGAGGATAGGCCATTTTCCAATCTCAGCTGGAGGCAGATCCTCCCCTGGCTTCTCCCCACCTCCTCTAACTCATTGCCACAATGGGTTCCACAGATGACAGGTCTGTCTTCCCAGACTGGAGTTGCGAGGAAGGCAAGAGGTTATTAGCTAGTGGAGCCCTCCGACCATTGCTCTTCTCTGTCCAAGCCACCCTGAAGGAGGCAACTGGGGAGGGTGGCCTGTCTTCCTGAGGCTTGGGGGGTCTTTGGCACATGCTCAGTAATGCCTTTAACTCTACCCTGAAGTTCTCATTCAGCCAGCAGTAGATGAAGGGGTTGTAGCAGGTGCTACTCATGGCAAACCAGTGGAAGGCGAAGTAGAGGGCATTGTTGGTGCGGATGACCTTACTGGACAGGAGGAGGACGTAGCAGTTGAGAGGGAACCAGCACAGGGCGAAGAGGACCACCACAAGCATCAGCATCTTGATGGTTTTCTTCTTCTTGCGGCGCAGGGCCAGGTACTGCTCGGTGGTCACATCGCCAATCGTGTTACACAGCCACAGCTTCTTGGCCACACGAGCATAGGCCACGGAGATGATGAGGAGAGGGAGAATGTACAGCAGGATGAAGGTGGCCAGGTCCAGGTACTTCCAGAAGAGATCGGCTGGCTCAGGGAAGTCTGGCAGGCATAGGGAGCGCACAATGTCCTCACTGCAGGCAGGAGAGAGAGAGAGAAGGTGACGGGGAGGAGAAAAGATGGAAAGCCTTCACCCCAAGAGGCGCCACCCCTCCCTCCCCTGGACTATTGGCACATCTGTCTGTTATAGCTCTTCTGACACTGTAGCCTAAGTATCTGAACACGTTTCTCACTCCCCACAAGGTTGAGTTCCATAAAGGTAAGGAAGACACTGAATCTCTGAGTCCTCTTAGTCTTGCGTTGTTCCTGGCCCACAGATAAGATCTAATAGGTATTTGTTGAATGGTGAAACAGTAGTGTCCTTAAAAATGTACCCTGGTCCTCTTTATCTCCCTTACTAGGTCCATGTGCCTTGTTGCTCTTGTTATATGTAGCAAAATAAAAATTCCCTTTGCTCTTGTAGGGAAAAAAAAAGTCTTCCATGTGTGAAGGCAGATGGGGGGTCTGAATGTGGGTGGATCTGAGTGTCTGATTTCTTCCAATATCCTGGAATTCATGAAAGGAGCCTTTATCAATAATTTGAAAAAATTGACCTTCAGGGCTTCTCTGTCTCTCTTGAGTCTGCTTTTGTCATAGAAGTAAGCAAAATGTGTCTTTCAAGGACACAGTGCATAGCCACTGTAGCAGACACTGGGAGTGCATTGTCTTGGTCCCCAGGACCTCCCTTAACAGAGCATCAGCCCCCAGCTGCTGCCCCTCCAGCAAGAAATGCTGGCATCCGTGGTCTTCTAGGTGTCTAGGACTACCCTAGACACCGAAAATCCTTTCCATGGATTCAGTAAGAACAGAAGTGGGGGCAGTTTCTAATTTCTCTAGTAAGCCTGGAGCCAGTGGCTGACAGGAATGTGAGAGCCAAACTCTCTGGCCTGCGGCAGGGTTTTTCCTCCAGATTCTACTCCTGACTCTAAAGATTGCTCCAGAGACTCCASCTTCCCCTTAAGCTACACCCTGGCATGGGTTCTCCCTTCCCAGTCCTGCCTCCCTACCCCTTCACCCAGTATTCCTTGGAGCATGGGCCTAACAAACTTCTTGCATGTGTGCATACCTTCATCTCAGGACCTGTTGGAACTTCACCTACAACAACGTGTGAAAGGTTGAAAATCCCTCTATGATCATTCATTCATTTATTCACTCAGTAAATACAGACTGAAGGCTTGTTACAAAGAGCATGGTTGAGATCACTGAGATACCAAATCAGAAACTGAGCCAGCTTGGGCTGCGGTAGTGGCACCGTGGCAACGCACTTGCCTAGCATGTGTGAGGCCCTGGGTTCGATTCTCAGCAACACATTTAAACACACTGACAACTAAAAAAGTTAAAAATAAAAGAAACTGAGCCAGCTCTTTCTAAATTTAAGAGTCTAGCAAGGAGAGAGGTCTTAATGAACTACTTTAAATTTTAAACACTGAATGTTTGAAAGAATTTCCCATCTGGTAAAAACATATGATAAACAAATCTAGGTGAGAGGTGGGGGAATTAGGAGAATCCTGCCTCAGACACATACACACATATATGTTTTTCTAAGTCCTGTGAGAATTTAAACCTTGCTCATTTTAAACTAGGTGCAGTTGATTCCCATCTCAGTCTATGTGAGCACATGCCCCCCTGGTGGCAAAACCTGGTAACTACTGCCTGGTCCTTGGAGAGAGATTGGAAAGACAATCAAGAGGAAGCTGAAGTGGTTGAGAAGAAAAAAAAGACAAAAGCTGGGTGGGAGGTGCAAAGAATAGGCATGGATCAGAAAGCAACATGATGGGAGAGAGGCCAGGATCATGGCTCAGTGGGGCAGGACTTGTAACTCTGATAGTTGTGGATCCAGAGGGGCCTCCAGTTTCCCTTTGCCAGGGCTTCCTGTYGATTTGAGAGAAGGCAGGGATAGGCGATCGCCTCTAAAGCCTAGGCTTCTCCTACTTATTCATCTCACCTGTACTTGAAGGTAAACAATTTCTGACAGATAGCATGAGGGAGCGAGAAGAAGGTAGCCATGATCCAGATCACAGCGATGTAGATGATACCCTTTGTGATAGAGATTCGGGGCTTTAAAGGATGCATAATGACCTGAAAAACAAGCAAACAGCATCACTAGCTAAACAAGTTTAAAGAAAATGAGACTCCAGATACTGCAGCTCAGCTGTCACTAAGATATGCCTTATTTATTAAGCAAGCACCCTTTACATTCATTGTTGAGGCCCTGAGCTGACCAGGTATCCAGGGGTTGCGGGGCAGGGACCATGCCCCACTCCATAGCCAACCTTCAGGAGTGTAAAAATGGTGCTGTCTGGATTCAGAGAGTCTTGGCAGTTCAAATGCTTCTTGCTGCARACCTGGGACCAAGGAGGGCTTGTGGAGGAGGTCTGCTTGCATAGCCCCAAAGCAAAGCTGGTAGAGGGACAAGCCCATGCTCAGTGCCTACGTCCTTGAGATCTGACTTAATCTTCCCAGGATTCTAGACACCTTAGGTTATGCAGGGCTCTGAAAAGGTCTGAAGCTGTTGTACCTCTCATGGAAAGCTGCATTGACACTTATTTGGGAGCTCACAACACTGTTTATGAAAGCTGCTAGCAAAATTGCAATGGGGCTCAGCATCCACACGCCTACAATAAAGCCAGTGTTATAAGCTTCAGGGTGAAATGCACTTGAAATTGCTACTGTATGCCAATCAATTCTTCTAAAAGCTTGAACATTTAAAAGCATCTTCATTTTAAGATGAGAATCGTTACTTCTTGGGAAAGGCACTGGGGATAGGTGAGTTCAGGGTCAGGGAGACAGAGGTCATACAGAGTTACTGCTGTCTTAGGACACTATCCTGAAACACATGCAATGTTCTGGATGTTTCTCGGAATTTTTTTTCTTCCCAATTCTTTTTAAGATCTTATGGGAGGTTGTGATGAGTTTTCGGAAGCTTCCCAGAACATCTCCATTCTGGACTTGGCCATCTCTGCCCCTCCTACTCCTGTGTTCAGGTTTGCCGAAGGCAGTAGTAACCTGGGAAAAGTCTCCAGACACTGTTCAGGGATTTCATTGGCATTGGGTCAAGACCCTATATTTGAAAATATGGCAATATGGTCAACATAAGCAAGATTTAGCCCCTGTTCCTCAGCCCCACTCAACCCATGCATCAACTCTTAACTGTGTTAGACAGGAGTAATCATAGACCAAGGACAGGTAGCCTAGAGATCTTAATGAATAAAAGGAGATTTAAAAAAAAACAGAAAATATTTGTATGTAAATGTTCACACTTTGCTGTAATGTATTTATAGCATATATGAAGAGTTCATTCTTACAAAACAATAACATTTCAAAAAAAAATTTCAAAGTTTGGCTAGTCCAATTCCTTATCAGACAGATGCTTGTGTCCCTTTGAAGACATTCTTATCATGTTGTCATCCGGACTTTGCTTAGATATGGCTGGGAACATGGAATGCATTACCTCCCAGGCAGCTTTGTCCACCTTTAGACATTTCATTAGAAAGTCATTCCTCACTTTGGACTTCAGCTTTGAGCCTGCATCTTTGAAGCTCCTTATCCCTGGGTGCTACTCAGAATAAATCCCATTCCTCTTTGTCCTCTTTGTCCTGGTGGCCCTAATGATACTTGTTTTTTAGGTTTCCTTGAGTCTTCTCATAGCAGAGTGGTCTAGTGATCACAGAGTAGCATGGAGCCACATAGACCTTGGTCCTAGAGGCATTATTCATAGTCACATGATCTTGAAAAAGCTACCAATCCTTGGTTCCTTGATTCAGCATAGTCTAAACATAYAACACAGGCTCACTGAGTTAGCATAGGCAAGGCACCTGGCATGAAGCCATCCCCTTCCAGGATGGACACCCTCAGGTTCTCTTTGGGTTCCTACTACCATGTCCACCCAGGGCTTCTAATGTCCTCACCCCAGATGCTATCACCACCATGACACCTGCTCTTGCCATTGGATATCCTGGCTTGTTTTCCTCTTCAACGGTCTGGGCCAGTGAATACCCATCTCTTACTGAAGAGCCTATCTCCAACCTGCAATTACTGTTGCTCTCTTTTCATCTGTAATTTTCCAGGTTTCCCTTTCTACCCCTAAAATGAGCTCATTGATTTCTGAGACAGAAAATGCCACCACTGAGCCTTCATCAGACAACAAACTTTTTTTGAAACAACTAGGACAAAGGGTTTAAGATCCCTAATCTACACGCTTATCAATAAGAAAACATGCTCAATGAAATCTGGGCTAAAACCACTGTCTTGAGAGTATTTCCTGCAGACTCCAGGAAAGCAAAGCCAAAGAGGAAAGGACAAAGAGGGAAGGTTGGTGCCTTCACCTGGTGGCGGTCCACAGCAATGGCCGTTAGTGTCAGTGCTGAGACATGCAGGGAGCAGTACTGGGCAAAGCGGCTGACATGACACATGCCCTTCCCGAACACCCACGTGCTGTTCACAAAGCGGACCTAAAGACAAGCAAACAGAAGTTAAGAGAAAGACAATCCTTGATTYTGACACCCCCTTGACCCCTTGGCGGTCTCTAAGGAGCATATCCTTGGGAGGCCTCTCCCAGCTCCTCCTTTCTTTCCATATATGAGGCCAAATCGTGATTACATGTGATTTCCCCCAGCACAGCTCATTATCATTCATTCAGTTCAACAAACCCTGATCGTGATCCTATGTCATCAGGACAGGAGATCTTAGGAAAGACATGGGCTTTGGAGGTGGACTTCCTACCTCTAAGAGTTTATCACTGTCCAACCTTGGCAATATATGTAACCTCTGTTAACCTAGTTTTGTCATTTGCAAAGGAGAAAAAAAAAGGTATCACAATCTCTACCTTACATGCTTAGTATGAAGTCTGTAAAGGATGAGAAGAAACTATCTGGCAGATTGTTAGAAAGCTATTGATAGAAAGAAGTGGTAGGTATTTCTATGAGTAATAATAGAATTCATTCTTTGCCCAACTAAGTTCAGTCTAGTGATTACATAACACAGCGTTTGGACTGTACCAGAAATTTGGGCTAAGCTGATCTTGTGACTCCTCATCTGGGAAGGAGAACCATGACGAGCTTGGAGTGGTATGGATCAGAGAGAGCTATGGTGCCCTAGGAGAACCTAGTCCTCCTACCACGACAGCCAGGGCTGTTTGCTCAATTAATACATGAGCAGCTCCTGGGGAGTATTGCTGCTTGCCCAAGAGGGACCAAGCATGATTTTGATCAAGGAGCTTGCAATCTGGGCAGGGGGGAACCAAATAACCCAAGTACAGGGTGGAAAGAAGTCAATGCCCTATAGAGGCCCAGATAAAAGGCAATTAGACCACCATGTAGGAGTGTGAGTGGGCAGAGGAGAAACAGAGGTGATGAAGACAGAAACAGAGCAAGTCAGCCCCACAGAAAAGAGTACAGTGTAGAGATTTACAGCAGATTTTTTGGTCATCCTGGGAAAGACATTTGGACCCTCTAAGCCTCAATTTCCTCATCTGCAAAATGGAGCTGCCTCTTTTTAGAAGGTTGTTATGGAAATCAAACAGGATGGGGAGAGGGAGCATGGGAAGAATAGACAAACTCTAGATAGGGCAAAAGGGTTGGAGGGTAAGGGAGGGGGCATGGGGTTATAAATGATGGTGGAATGTGATGATCATTATTATCCAAAGTACATGTATGAAGACACAAATGGTGTGAATATACTTTGTATACAACCATAGATATGAAAAATTGTGCTCTCTATATGTAATAAGAATTGTAATGCATTCTGCTGTCATATATAAATAATAATAATAATATTCATCATAAAAAAATCAAACAGGATGGACAACACACATCAAGTAGGCGCAACAGTGCTTAGAACCCTGCAAGTGGGTGACCCTCTGCACGGCCACTGTGACTACATCAGAGACATCCGAAATGAGGAAGGACTTGCATGGGTGAAGATCAGACCAAAAGGCACTGATACTGGATCATGTCGTGGCTGGGAATGAGGAGTGGACAAGTCTGGCCTGATCGTGAAACCAGGACAGCAGACGGTGGGCTTTCCTCTTTCCAGGGTAGACAGGGAGGAGCCATTTGAGGCTTTTGAGCAGTCTAGCCACATAATAGAGCTAGCAATATTCACCCCTACACTTCTCACCCCCACACTGAGTGAATGACCAAATCCAAACCTCTAATGGTTTTCAAATACATTCCCTTGTCCTTCAGCCCTGAGGTCATGGCCCTGGTACAGCTTCTTCCCCACTCTTAGCTCTTATCTCTAGCAACTCAGCCTGCACACCGCTGTTCATAGCTTCCTTAATAAAAAATCAGATTGCTGTTACCAACCTGCTGAGCATGGCCCACAGTTCTCAGGCCACAGCCAGATGCCTCATGAGTATCCAGGCCTGTTCAAACTTGGCCCTGGCCTTGCTTTCTGGTCCACCACTGCCTCTCCTGCCCCAGGCCATCCCTCCTCTCATCTCTGCTGCTCCAGCTACACTGAGCTACTGGATGTTCCTCAATACACTGTGAACTTTGATGTCTCCTTGCCTTTGTCTCCCTGGTCCCTCTGCCGGCATTGACTGTTCAGCATGACCTGGAAACTCCTACTCATCTAGGTCCCTTTGAAATGTCATGTTCTTTGCAAAGTCTCCTTTGATCCTCTCATGGGACTCTGGTGGGTGGGAGTGAAAGACTCCCCCCTCTAGGTTCCACTGCATTTTGTGTATGTCTCTACAATGGGAACTGTGAATAACTGTTTATTAAGCCCTCAGTGGTCAGAGCTGGGCTTCTGATGACCCTAGTGAGTGAAGTAGATAGGAAGGGAGACATGGGAGGGAGGATACTCTCAACAACCAGCCAAAGCAGGATGCCTTGCCCTGCTGAGTAGACTAAGGGGTTAGAAGACCCTGTCCCCATACTCCTCTCTCTCCCTGATTACCATCACCTTGCGACTTTAATAGGAATTTGGATTCAGCAGCTCTAAGGGTCAGGTTAAAGTCCAAGGTACTTTGGCTCATCCTGGATGGAGTGCAGGATTTTTAGCACCTTGAATTCCTGTCTTGCAGACCGTGCTCTGGGGCAGGGGCTTCCAGCTCTCAGCTGTAGCTGGCCTTAGGTCCCTGGCCTCCTTGTCCCCCCATGTGTCTATAGCAGATTCAGCCCTATAGCCTGGCTCTGGGCAGTATCCTTCCAGTTCCCACTGTGGATGACCCAGCCCATCTCAGCACTGCCCACTGTCAGGTCAGAAACCTAGGGAAGAGGGGTAGATGGGTGGTGCAGTGGTGGAGCATTTGGCTGGCAGGCAGCAGGTCCTGGGTTCAAACCCCAACACCATAAAACAAACAAAAACCAAGGAGAGAAAGAGATGTTGCTTTCTTGTGAATCAAGGCAACAGAAGCAGTGCTCTTTGTCCTTGAGTTAGTACTCAAAGAACCCTGAATGGGCATCAATAAGTTCTATATAGACCAGAATGAGAATAGGGAAAGTCCATAGTTTGGAGCAGTGGAAGCAGAACATGGTCCTAGAGTGACCTCCATTCCTCTGGTGGTGTGGTGGACAGACATCTGGACTTGAAGTAGGGGATGTAATTCTTATCCTGGATCTACATATTACTAGCCACACAGCCCTGAACAAGGGACTGAACCTCTCTCTGCCTTAGTTTCCTTATCTGCCAAATGTGAGTGATGTTCTCATAACAAACCAAGAGAAAGAGAATGTAAGAGTTCTCTGAGGATTTAAGATTTGGAGGGACATTCACATAGGTGCATGGACTCTTCTTTTTGTTTTCTGTCATTTCTGGGTATCTGTGTGTGTGTTGAGAGAAAGAAACGCAGAGGCAGGCATGAACAGATTCTGCTTTGACAGTAACTCAAATAAAAATAAAGTTATTCCATAAATTGAAAAAGATGTAACCCATGATATAGAAACAGGCAGATTGCACAGTCACAGCCTTCATGATTCCAAATTATCCATGAGAACTGCACTTCTAGGTTATAAAAGGACAGAGATTACACTACTAATGTTGAGTGGCCAGGGCTTGGGGAGGAGGCCATGAACCACCTGTGTGCTGGGGAGCCAGCCAAGCCAGGTGGGGCCCATGTTCACTTCACCCTCATCTCTTCCCCAACACAGATCTCATACAAGGCCTCACTGTCAATCAACAGAAGGGAAATGAAATAAGCAATCTAGGAAAATGCACCTCAGGTTCCATTAACATTCAACAATTGTGTGATATTTTAGTTGCAGCATAAAACAGCACCCCATTGATATGGAGGGGTAGACCTTTAATAGGGAGAGAGGAGGTGATCTAATAGTGTCTGCTAATATTTTAAGGGCTTGATTTACTGTTTGATAATCAAAAGGGTGCATGCATCCAATAAGATTAAACAGCAATGAGATTATCCAGCTGCAGACACTCCAACCATTGACCCAATGTCAACAGCTGCAGAAGCTCTGGTTTAGAAATTAATTGAGCAAAAGATGGGAGGGAGGGAATGAGGGAGAAAATGTGAGAGAAAGAGAGATGGAATGAGAGAGAAAATAGGAGAAAGGTAGGATTGACAGAAAATTAAGACCATAAGAAGAGAAGAAGGTGATAAAGGATGCAATAGAAACAGACAAGTAGAGAGAGAAATGAGAAACAGACTTCAGAGAGAGAAAGACAGCGACTGGTGGAAAGACTAAGAAAAACAGAGGAGGGGTGAAGCGTGATAAACTAGGGATGAATGACAAGAGAGACTAAAAGATGAAGTCAGAAAGGCATAAGTACCAGAAATGAGGAGGTGGAAGAACCTTAGGGGTGGAAAGATGGGGGTGGGGTGAAGAGGCGAGAAAGGGAGGGAGGCAATGACAGAAGGAGGGGAGAGAATTGAGAAATCAGATAGATGAGAGGGCGACCAAGAAAGCCTGAGGCTGGGGAGCCAGCGGAGCCAGGGACCTTACCAAAGTGAAGGGGGTGTTGAGCAGCGTGATCATTATGTCTGCCACCGCCAGGTTGACAATGAAGAGGCTGGTGGCCGAGTGCATTCGCTGGTTCTTGAAGATGACATGACAAACCAGCACGTTGCCAAAGAGCGAGAAGATGATGATGAAGGAGTAAGCCACGATGAGCAGGGCTTTCACCGTGGGGTTCTGGGACTCGGCCCCGTAGCGCCTCCTGCCCACAAAGTTCTGCCAGTCGGAGAAGGTGTAGTTGTTCCAGGAGAAGAAGTGCGAGGTGTTGGGCACCGCCAGGGCCGCCTCCAGGCTCTGCTCCTCCGCCCGACTCTCGGGGCGCTCAGTGGCTTGCACCAAGTGGAGAAGGAGGAGCAGCAAGAAGTGATGGACCATTTTCCCGGAGCCGCTGGTTCCCTGGGAGCGCGCTGTCGGGACGTTTCTCCCGGACTCGGGGTGCTGGGAGCCGAGCGCSCCCGGGCTGTGGCGCCAGGGAGCCCCGGACCGCCGGCGCCCCGCTTGCAGCCGGACTCAGGCAGCTACCAGCTCTTGGTGGACAAGCTCAGGGCTTGTTTCAGCACTTTTATATCTGCTTCCCCCAGGCTGCCAGCGAGCGCCTCGCCTATTGGGCAGCGCAGCGACTCTTGCGCCGACCGTGACGCGCTCGGGCTCTGACAAGCCTCGCTCGCTCCACSGTGCCTGGCGGCGTGGCTGCAGTCCCCACGCCCAATCCACTCCCACTCCAGCCACAACTCCCGTGGCGCTGCAAAGTGCTTTCTCCAATGCACCTTGGCTCGATTTCTCCTAACCTCTAGTGAAGAGGACAGGTGGAAGCAGCCCTTGGGGGAGAGTGGGGATTATGTGGGATCACACATTGCAAAACTTGGTCTGCCAGGGGGTCTCCTTCAGTGACGAGGATAAATTTCATTTGTTTCCATCTGTGCTGTAGTATTAGCACAGTTGCAATATTGAGATGAATCATTGAGTTCTGGTGGACTAAGGAACRAAGCAAACAATGAAACAGAGGCCTTAGAATTGCTCCAAGCTCCCAGAGCATCTGGATTATAGGCGTGCTGGAGGGCTTTTTAAAGGCGTATTATTTCTTTGACAGCTCTCAGGAACGCAATGTGGGGGACCTTTGTTTTTCAAAGAAACTCTTCAGAACAGTTTTCCTGATAGATCAAAGGAAACAAGAAGCTTAGCTATGTGCCCACTTACTGGGTAAGAGTGAGTTTTCTGTCCTGAAAGTTGCAGAAACCGTATCTGATAGGAATATAATGATCCATGTTGCTTCCTAGTTCCCCACCTACTTCTCCATCTTGCTCACCTATTTACACTTCCATTGTGCAGCCAACCATCCCCTGCTACTGACCTTTCTGACCTTGTTCTTAAGACCAGGCTCTCTGAAATCAGGATCTAATCCCAGCTTTGTCACCTCCTCACTGAGATATTAGGCAATTTATTTCACCTTTTTGGCCATGGTTAACAGCTTTCTTTTCCTTTATGTGAGGTTTTCAGAGAACCCTGTATAGATCTCTCACCACACTAYATTCTGTTACAAGAGATGCAAGATAGTTGACTACTTATAACTATGCCCTCAACTCCCCATTCTAATGGTAAATCTGGTGTAGAYTTTCTAGTGTGTCATCTACCCCTGCTGAGCARTGCCCTGAACAAAGTACTCAAACCCAGATAACTTCTGAGCTATCCTCTTGGCCCTGGGGAAAGCCTGCTCCTTTCTCCCAACCAAAGCCTGGAGAACAGGACCTTCCCACCACCGTCCTCTTTTCTCACTGAACCAGCGGAAAAGCTCCAATTACCTGCCACTTTGGAACTTTTCCAGGAACATTGGACTTCAGCTTCAGTACTCCCTCGAACTCCAGGGACACGGCCCAGACTCTCCTGTTGATAAACAATCAGAAAATAAGTCAATAAGTGTCACCCTAGTAAAATACAAGGTGCACTTATCCTGGTTGGAGTCAGGGAAGTCTTATCAAGTGACACTTCAACTGAATCCTGAAAGAACAGCGGGAGACAGGTCATGGAAAAGGAGTCCTTAGTGAAGGAGTCGCAGTGCATTTGCAGACATGGAAGTCAGTCGTGTATTAGGCAGGGAGTTGAGTGGAGAGTGAGCTGGAGAGGTAGGCAGGGACTGGAGCATGAGGGTCATTAGTCATGCTAAGAATTTGAAAGATTTCTGGGGATGCATGAAAAGACTATAGGTAGAGACTGATAGGATCYGTTTTGCCTTTTAGAAAGAACACTCCAGCATATGAGTGGAGAATAGAGAGGCTGTGGCTTGAAACAGGTTTGAAGGCTGTTCAAGTAACCCAGGGGTAGAGGTGAGACCTAAATCAAGCTGGGTGGGGGGAGGAGMAAATGTGACAGAGATTGGAGGGAAAAATCAGGATGAATGCCCAGTTTTAAGTTTGGTTAAAGTCAAACACAAAAAGCATGAAAGGTCTTTCTTTGGCCTCAATCTCTTCCAGAAATTTTAGGCTTTCTTCACTGTTTTATCAGTAAGTTCCTAGAAATCCCCTTTACCTCCAGTTTCTTGCCTTATATTCACACTCCAAGCCACTATTTTGAAGTGTTCCTCAATTCTGCTGATGGGCCTGGCAGGTCACACAGGACTATGTGTTGGAATAGAGGATTATGGACTGATCCCAGGAGAAAGGACAGGGTATCAGGCTGATGAAATAACAGGCATATAGGTTTTTAAAAAAAAAATTCAGGAGACTTCCTATAAACATGTAATCTAAGAGCTTGAATAGACTTGATGTCCCATCAAGATGACTTGGARACATTTCAGGGTGGTAAGGCTAGTGTGTGGTGGTCGTTTAGAAACAGAATCCTAATGAATAGCCCCATGTCAAAAAAAAAAAAAAAAGTGCATGAGTAGAAGAGGGCCAATGAGCAACAAGCATAGAAAAAGATCAAAGGTAGACTAAGTGCCCTGCCGAACACTCCCTTCCAACATCCTCCTCTAATCCATAGCAGGCATATTCTTAATCTGAGCCACGTAACTAGTGCCTTTGCTTTGATTCCTTGCTTAGCCTGTCTACCTTTTAGGTATGAGGGCATTTGTGCCAGGTGCCTGGAATTGTCCCTCTGAAAGACAAGATGAGGTATTCAAGAGTTTATTTGGGAGATGAAGGTAAACACCAGCAGGGAGTGGGGAAGTGAGATAAGGAAGGAAAGGTGGCCAGTCAAGAGTGCATTGTCAAGCCAGCTACCACTGTGAGTGACTGGAGCTTAGCCACCTGTAAAGTCAATATTAAGCATAGATGTCAGCTACCCAAGCCAAAGGGTAAGAGAACTGGGATGCCTATATACCAACTCCTGTCACTCATCAAAGTTTTCTCCCAAGGGGTGTATTAATGCTCCAGAATAGGCCTGCAAAGTAGGCAGTGGAATTAGGCACAAAAGAAAATAGAACTAATGTGCTCTAAGGGGCGGGGCACTCAGAATATCCAATGGCAGGCACGGAGTCTGTAATCACTTCCTTTTCCTCTTCCCCAGATATTCAGTTCTCCATTCATTCAGGTTTGGCCTCCCGACCTCAACTGAATTTCTACTCAGCACCATTGTCCCAGCTTACCCTGAACTTCTGGAACAACCCATTCGCTAATAAGCAAGAACATCCTTCATGTTACCCCACACTAAGGTTAAGTTATTAGACATTCTTTCCTCAGGGGCTTTATCTGTCCTGTAAATTACTGTTGCTCTAAGGAGTTATAGGAGAACACAAGCTGCTCTTATGGGGTGAACCAATTCCTTTTGTACATTCTGAGTAAAAATGAGGACACTGTGTATAGTCAGTGTGTGCCACATACTAATTAGATTTCTACATCTCCAATAATAGTTCCATGTATTAAACATACCAAAGAGAGTTTACTGTTTAACTCTCTCAAATGGCCTTGAAGAAAAGGAAGATAGGAACAAAGGAAGAAAAACACTTCATAAGTATTTTAACAAAAGTGAGACAGAGAGTTACAGAGCAATAATTTCACACAGAGGCCTTAGAAAGAGGCATTTCTGAGATCTTCGCCACATCAAGATTCTGGATGCTGCAAACAATGTTGCTTTGACACCAACATTGTTTTCTAAAAAGCTCCTACTTGAGTTAGAAACTCTCCACACTCACAATTCCCTCTGGCACCAATCACAGCAGCAGAAAGGAAAGAATTRCAAATAGCATGGTGACATGACAGTCACTTGAAGCTTGTTTAAATTGCACACRTTGGATATTGACATACTTGAATTACAAAAGAACCAAGTAGGCCTGAAATATCAAGTATTGCTGAAGATTTACACAAATGCAGTAACAACACAAAAGGTGTGGGTGGGCTAAGCCAGCAATTGCTTTCCAAGTCTGATACACTGGAGCCATCGAGTAAGAAGATATATTTAGAAAAAGGGAAAGAAGAATACCAATGCTCCAAATTACAGTTTGTTACCCAAATTAAATTGCAAGTTGCTTTAACTTACCCTGCACTTTTACATAGAAATTTTTCATAAATGGTGATTTGGGTATTGGGCCACCTAGTACCAATCTGTTTAACCCATGTCATAATATTAGTTGTATCCCAAGAAGGGTAGGTAGTTTCCAGAATGGCATTCTCCGTGATTTGCTCATTTTGAACCAAATGTCCTTGTGCATGTTCCCAACCATATCCACAAGTTTAACTTTCTACCACTCATCACCAAGATCTGTGTCTCTACTCATCACCTTTGTCAAGAGTYTCAGACCTGTATCACATATTCACTGTTGGCTGAATATTTTTACSTAGAATACCCCCGCACACTTCAAATTCAGCAAGCTCCAAAGTCAACTCATAGCCCATTCTCCCCCCACTTTCTTATACTTGTTCCCTTTTCTGTTCACTGTCCACCATGGTTAGAATCCTGGGGTCACCTCACACTTTGCCAATTTCACGATGGTATGTGTTTGAGAATGTTATTTCTCTACCTGCAAGCATTGTTTCTGCCATCCTAAGGCCAGAAAAAACTCCTCTCTTCTTCAATATCCAGTTCAAATATTGCCACTCCTCTGAAAACTCACTGATGCCTCACTTGACTGCCAAAGTCCCAGGACAAGCAAGGTCAGGTCCCAAATCTACTCTTTTTKTGTGTGTGTGTTGGCAGGGGTGGGGTGGGGGGCGGGTACCAGGGATTGATCTCAGGGGTACTCAATCACAGAGTCACATCCCCAGCCCTGTTTTGTATTTTATTTAGAGACAGGGTCTCATTGAGTTGCTTAGCACCTTGCCATTGCTGAGGCTGTCTTTGAATTCATGATCCTCCTGTCTCAGCCTCCCAAGCCTCTGGGATTACAGGCGTGCACCACCATGCCTGGCCCAAATCTCCTCTTTTAAGAGTGCTCCCATAACATGCCATCCATTCTCTAATGTTGGACTTCCTCTGTTGTAGTCTCGTTGATATGCACTCCTTTTCCCCACTCAACTGTGAACTCCTCCAAGGCTGGGAATGATCTTATTCCTAACATTACTTTCTGTAGCCTGGCACATTACCCAGACAGGAGTAATATTAGTAATG